TTCAGAAATTCGAACCCCTTCTCCAATGCGTACATTGTGTGGCGGAAGAATTCCAGAAAGTTGATTTCTTGCTCAGGCTCCTTCGTAGATGAATGAACGATTTCAGAACGGAAATCAACCCGAAGTAGATGACGGCACAAATAACACCAAGATAACAGATCCCGCGACAACAGATTCACAAGCTCGCATGTATGGCATGGGAGTCTACTATGAGTATGTTATATGTTGCATACCTTGGGAAACTTTTCAAACGCACTCGGAAAATATACTACTCTATATAACGCGCCAAGTGTGCCTGTTGGTCTGTTTGTCTATGTGTGTGTGTGTTTGACCGAAAACTCATGACCCCGGTTCCCGTCGACTTAGAGGGTTCAAATTTGGTAGGAGTACAGGCGGCAGGATAGGAACTCTAATGGTGAGTGGCGGGGCCGAACCCCGCCCACAAATTGCGGGGTCTAAGCGAAATAAATGTTTGAGCGGAAAGTCATAACTTCTGTCTCCGTGGACCTAAAGCGCTCAAACTTGGTAGGAGTACGGGCGGCAGCATGGGAACACTAATGATTGGTGGCGGATCCGGACTCCATCCACAGGGGACAGGGTTGGTGCCGAAATCATAGCTGCAGTCCCTGTGACCTGGAACGTTCAAATTTGGTAGGAGTACCCAAGATAGGATGGTAAAGCTTATAATGGGCGGCAGGTTTGAACTCCGCCCACAACGGGCGGGTTTTGGGCAGAAATACATAACCCCTGTCCCTGTGGACCTAGAAAGTTAAAACTTGGCACGAGTACACGCGGCAGGATGGGAGCACTCGTGGTGGATGGCAAGATCGGACTCCGCCCACAAGAGGCGGGGTTCCTGTTGAACAAAATTAAACTTGGGGGGTTTCTGTGAAAAAATTAAACTTGGACCCACAGTGTTCAAATTCGGTAGGAGTACACGCGGCAGGATGGGAGCACTCATGGTGGATGGCAAGATCGGACTCTGCCCACAATGGGAGGGGTTTGAGCGGAAAACAATAACTCCTCCAAGGCGCGGGGCTTGCAGAAACGTCAAAATGGACCTAGAGCGACCAAACTTGGTAGGAATACAGGAGGCAGGATAGGAACACTGATGTTAGGTTGCAAGACCAAACTCCGCCTCAAAGGGCTGGGCGTGAATAAATACTGTTAGTTCGGACCCAGACCGTTAAAACTTGAAGGCACAAGGAGTTGGTTGGGAACATTGATGGTAGCTAACGTAGTAGACTCAGCCGCGACGAAGTCTCTGGGTACTTTTTTTCTCTGATTGATGCCTTTGTGATATTATACGATGTTCTATTCGGATACAGCGAAGATGGCTTACAGAAAAAAATCGCTCCTAATTCGGAGCTAATACTGAGGGTGTAGAGCTATCAAAGAGAAAGGAGAATCCGAAGCGTTATTTACCGGGCGTCCCATAAGAAGGAGGGAAGCCCGGTGTTAGCCGGGCGCCCCGACTGGTTACAGTAAAAGAGATAGGCGCTTGGTTTGAAAATACCGTCGCAGCCAAATCTTCCCGAATAGGTCTAGGAAAAGAGCCCAAGAAGAGAAGGCGATCAGATATATAGCAGTGCTGAAAAACTCTTCATTAGAGCCCAACAGTTGACTGCAACGCTTTTAACGGCATTTGCGACCCGGACAGCCATATTTACTTGTCAGTGAGGAACCGATCAAAGTCCATTAGAATCAATGGCAATTCCATTCTCTTCATCTTTAGCGACTATCTCATTTGACACCAGGGTCCACTCTTACCGTTGAAAGTTTGCCTGGGATAAAGGTCATCTTACCGTTGAAAGTTTGCCTGGGATAAAGGTCAAGTAATTTTAAGTCCTTGCTCTAGTCATTATGTCAGCACTGCTTCAGGTATCTCCTAGGCCGTTTTCGCGCACGTCAAGGGTGAACTCTATACGTCAATAATTTTTAAGCGTTTTTAGAAAATGGAAAGTTTTTTTTTTCAGACTTCATGACCTTCCAACCTTAATAGGCCAAGAGGACGAGTTGGTCATTTTCGGAGACGGATTGCACAGCATCTCTGAGGTGAACTTTAATAGATTGAAGAGAATGCTCAACGATGACTTAAAAAGGAATGAAACAGTGCATTTGAAAGAGATCGTACTACATAAGCACAACCACGTAAATATCCTCGATTCGCGGCTTGAAGTTGAGAGAAAAACGTTGAGAGACAGCAAGGAGGGGTACTGTAGAAAGTTTACATCCAAATGACTGATCATCGCAATCCCCTTTACTCTTTCCTGAGACTAGTGACCCACACATAGACCAACATGGTTATTACAATGGGCATTGGGAAAGAGCAGTGGAGATCTCGGTCTCCAACAACTGTAGAAAGAGAATCAATTCCGCGAATTTCTTTGTTTTTTCCTATTTACAGGTGTGGTTACATCCTTCACCGACATGTGAACTACCGAAAGATAACCGATCAGTAGCTATGACTATTGGACAGACTACAAAAACATTCATCGTTGCTTCTTTAGCCAAGGTATAGGAGTTATCAGGAAGAGTAGATAAGATCCTTTCCATTAGTTCAACAGTGTATAGAAGCGCCACTGTAATAAGCACAATGACATCGATGACACGCTCATTACCTCTCCAATTTATTTCTGATTGAAGCCAGATAATTGATAAAATCTCCTCGCACCTGCATATTCGCAAGCTACATAAGAGGTTAGCAGCCAGAGCCGGGAGCCTTAACGCAGAACTTCTTTCATGAATGCAATGTAGGAGAACATCTACATACTGCAGTACCACTTCCACCCCTCCTCCAACTTACATCTGCAACGAGCGCGGTGCCTTATTCCGAACAGTTAGAGCAACACCCTCTGTCTAGGCGAAAAGAGAAGACCTCATGTGAATCCCTTACCCTACGTGGTCTCATGGAATCTTTCGAAACACTAGAAAATCTGAATCGAAATCAAGGGCATGGCTTACCCTGAGTGATCATACTGTCGTGAGCATGCCTGGTGAGTTAAGCGAGGTTGTTACAGGAAGAAGACTTTCGACCCGAATGGATGCACCCAATTTTCTTGTGCACGGAACCCGAAGCGAATCCGTCCGAGTTCCGATCGGTCATTATTTTGGACACATGTGGGTGCACAGACAATGGCCCTACTCAGAGTTGTCTTCTAACAAGGCTCGAAAATTTTCTAAGCCTTCTATTTTTCAGCTGACCCCTGGCTTCCACTACTTATAGTCTTGTACTTTTGGTTCCTATTGATGAGTGCACTCTTCACTGGTCTCAACCTTGCGCTAATGTCTTTGGATCTTGACGACCTCCGCGTAAGTTGAGAAGTAGAACAAGATTGAAAAAAAAACACAAATAAAATATTTAATTTTATACAAAAACAAGTTCATGAACTAGTTGAATTAGCTGCCCTGCAATGACTATTCAGGGAAAAGTGGTTACGTCAAGAAAGGGAAATCGTACTTCTGCAAGGCGGTTACATTCACTCACAGTAATTCTCACCCATACTGTGACCCGTGATTCCGATTCCCTGCAAAACTAGTCCCACTCCAAACGAGTAAGGGACATCTTAAGATAGCCTGTTCAGTAGTATCCCATGTCGTCTGCTCTCTCTCTGTCACAGCGCTACAGTTAGACACTCAACGAGACCTACGCAACTCTAACATCACATAATGAAAAACAAAAATGGATCTCTCATTCAATGAGGCTTCCAAGAATCCATCGACCAATTTTTACTGCTGACGCCTCTTTGATGAACAACCTGAGCCGAGTTTTCGTACCCCGTGCTCTTCAAGGCACAGTTCACGGTAATTTTGTGGTAACCATTTTTATTAGAAAAGCTGAAGTATGGGTTGGAAATAGTTCATTGGTAGTGAAGAAAGCGAGAGAATCCGCCGATTCCGAAAAAATGTGGCTCCTCAAAAGATACGAGAATGCCATGACGGAAATAACGTGAAAGAGGTATTCGGAGGAGATTACAGTTATAGAAATTGCGCAACGAGTTGACTACATAAAACCAGAGCTGCACAGAAATCTCTTTCGTCGTCGCCATGGGTCATGACAAGTTGTTTGAACTTTCCTCGAAGTTGTTGAACTGAACTACATGGGTTTCCTTGTGATCGAGCAGCCTCCACAATGCCGGTGAAACTCCTTCGTGGATACACACGGACCAATCCTTGAGCCTGTATAACTCCCTAATTAGGCCCTTTTCAGACCTAATAGTGTCAGATATGGTATACGCGGGGGCCTTTAATTTATCTGGGGGAATCTCAGAAACCATTTTTATCATGAACTGTGCCTTTAAGTTTGAGCATCCTGACCTACTACAGCCACAAAAGGTTTCTGTTTATAACATTCCATTTTCTACCTTCCGGCAGCTGGAGCACATTACGGGGAGAGTCTCACAAATAGCCACCAACATTCGGCAACAGTTCGAGCGGTCAGTATCAAATGTAATGCACCAAGTCCTCCCCTAATTCTTCAGGGAAGCCATGAAATGTACATGCCAAATATTCGTTGAAAAAACTGGATTTCTGCACAAATGTTCCATTGGGTGGAATTTCAGCGTATTCGTGAGTATGACGAGAACCCAAAGACACGACGCTATGCGGCTAATATCATTCCGATTCGGGAAAATGGGAACTTCATGTTGTGCACGATTATACTTGGTTTGGATTTGACAACTCCCACCTACTTAGCCATCTTCGAGTTTTCTTGAAATATTTACAAAATAATTTTTATTACAGGTAACACAATTTGCAATGCGATTTGTGTGCTGACGTTTGATCGAATGACTCGCGGGCTAGTTATGACGCTTACTGAGCGAATGATTTTTATCAACATCATTCCAACGTTATTCATCATGTTTTTTTCTGAAGTAATCCCTCAAGTTATTTGTACCAAGTAAGTACTGCCTGGTTTCACTTTGCTCATTTCCCAAATATTGCACACAGCCCCACTCATGAGGGAGTGAAGTAGTAGTAGCTGGCCTATATTGCTGCGTACCATACGGTCCCAGGGAAGAAGTCCCTTGGGCGGGAGCAGTATAACTATGCCTTTCGACATTACGGAGCCTATCAATGATGACTTCGCATAACACTGCAAAAACAAAAAAAAAAACTACATTTCATAGAATCTCCTAAATCTACCTTCCGAGATTCCAGTAGTCCCGGCAGTTTTGGAGCGGGCTATCTTCACAGACTTGGCTACATTTTGTGGATTAGAATTGTAAGGAGTTTAGAGAGGTCACTACTTAAGCGATTTCCTTTTCAGGTACGCCCTACCAATAGGAAGCCGTTGCCGCCATCTTATGGTATTCTTCATGGTATTAACATTTCCAGCAAGTTATCCACTATCAAAGCTTCTCGACTATGTTGTGGGGAAAGGTCGATCATCTGAATACATGTATCAGAAATCCGTTTTCATTTGCCATAGCAAGACACTTGCGATAGCAACAGAGGTAGAAAAGACCCTTATAAGTCTAGCACTTCTCGTTTAGCTCAAACGGGCCAATGAGTAGATGCATAGTACCTGTATCGTAGATGAGGTAGCACCATCCCGGTCCCTACGAAAAAAACGAAGCATCGCAGGCAACGATCTCAGACGATTCTAACATGCAGCGTTTTGCTAGCGTAAGGATAATAGCCAAGGCGTCACCTGACCCATAAATCAAAGACCATTAAGGCGAGTATGGCGCACATAGACCAAGAAAGCTGAGGAAAATTAGGTGTCATGCTTATCTCTGAGCTTACTGTCATACTTCACGATACTAATATGGTTTGCCAGTAAAAAGTTTTTTTCCCGTACTGGACATGTCATCCTCAGCATCAAACCAAGGAGATAGGTACATATAGGGCATACAAGCGGTTGCATAGACTGCAACAAGGTTGGCCTGTCTACGAACTGATTATGTAGTCAAAATCAATGTCTACAGAAGTGATGCTTGTAAGCACTGATCCTTGATATTGATAGCACTTGATGGAAGTGATTCTGAAGAGATCGCCCCTTGCCCTTACATTAGTTTCTGAAATACGGGCAGGTGTTTTGCAGAGATCCGCATGACGATAGATCGCCGAATGTTGGGCGATTTGATGCGTCAACAGCAGCAAAAGTACGAGACTGTAAACATGGCCGATGTGCTGGAAAATGCCATGAATCTTCAAGTACGACGAGTCCGTGATGTAATGACACCGATCGAGAAGGTATGCCCTTCACCTCCATTACCTGATTCCCTCTGTTCCTTCTGCTTATTTTGAGCAAAACGAAAGACTAGTCAACACAATCTCAGAGGTGGTTGTGGAATGACTGAATCACCAGCAACCCGTTAGACTAATGGCACATACCCATTCGACCAAGCTTAGGTGTTCATGATATCCGACAAAACCCAAGTCAACGCCAAATTGAAACGACAGCTGAGTGAAAATCGTCACACTCGAATACCAGTTTACAGAGGCGACGACCGTAACTGCGTAAGTGTGCCAGCTGTTCACAGACCTTAACATTACAACCGATTCATTCAACGTAGCACCAACAAATAATTACTCTTAATAACCACCCAAAATGGGGCTATGGGACTAGATAGGATTTTTTTTCACTTCTACAAAAGTTGGTTCCAGATTATTGGAGTCTTGAACGTGAAAGATTTGCTCTTAATCGACGATTCACTAGATCTTCATGTTGGTATCATAATGCAGTTATGGAATCGAAGTACTCTGGTGAGTTTTCATGAGCTTCAGTCAAATCTGGAGGGCAGCAGTTCAGTCCACGACGTTGCGAGCCATAACATGAAACGTTATCATCCTTACGTCTACAGAAGCGTCTACCGAGTCTACTAGAGGGGAATAGCGAATTAGAGGCGTGCACTGCCACTGTGGCATGAAATCGTAAAGATTTATGGAACTATGCCCCTAATTATTATGCACCATGCTACGCCTATTCTGAATAAACGTGGAGTAATGCCATCAAATCGCTATTTTTCAGCAATTCAAGGGTGATACAATTAGTATTAATATCCTATACTTCATCCAAATGAATCAAATACCTTCGGAGTATGACGTTCACACTGAGTATCCGATCCAAAGGCGGAGGTGATTTGTGCCAAATGACGTCTGCCACTAATAGGTGGACGGCCGACGTCCCTGGCTCAATATCAGCCTTGGCCAGCCAAGTCTACCATCTCAGGGTTGATAGTGGTACCAGCTTCGTCTGTGAGGACCGAAGCATTAGGTTGTTCAACTGGTTGTCCTTGTTGTATAATATATGGTAAACACACACTGAACGTCACTCGAGTCTGATTGAGAATCGAGGGCAAGGGCGCTTCCCACTGAAGAATGAGACTTTGTTTTTCAGTTCCGTTTCGTAAGCGCTGAAACACCTATAGCTCAGCTGATGCTCGAACTCAAACGAGGTTTTCCGTTAGCTATAGTGGTCGACTACTTACACGATGCAAAATGCTACCAAGTCATAGGTATAGTTACATTGGAAGACAATTTGGAAGAGGTGAGTTCAAGAGTTTCAAAAAGAGCTCATTGCCGGATTACCTCTCGTATACATACCTGATTCAGGTGATTGGCGAGATCTACGACGAAAAGGATCGTGCTATCGAAGAAAACATTGAGAAAGTGGAAAGAGCTATACCGCAGTCATTGCCGCAATCCGAAATTCATTTAGCACCCGAGCTAACGGTGAAAATAGCCAAGAAGAGAATGGTTAAAAAGGCTTTGGAGGTTTGTCCGCGTTTGGAAGTCATCACAGTATTTCTCGAAGGTCGATTTGCCAAGATGGAGCATGAACAGCTTCAAAAAATGTCACTGTTGCTGTCTCGGTCTCTATCCTATCGATGTTTGTAACAACCTCTTCGACATGGAGCACCCCTGGCAAGGCGGATCAGTACCGAGGACCTCAGTCATATTTGATTTCCGACCAACCTTTTGGTAACCCTTTGATAGTCCTTTGTACGGCAGACCAGGGATGCTGGGAGCACAACTCCTTATTTTCTTATCTTTTTTGCAGATGTTATACGAGTTTAGCGTTTGTTTGCTTGTTTGTTTTTCGTCTAAACATGCTTGTCCAAACTCACACCTTCTGCCCTGTTGTAGCGCACCATTGAGTGCACAATAAATAAATGAATGAATAAATAAATAACCACCATTTAAGGAACAAACCCCAGAAGCAGCACCTCTCCTGGCAATACCACAATCTGTGGTGAAATCAAAAAAGAAATCTAATAGTGGGGTAAGCGTGAAGCTTTCGGGCTAAGTACTTTTTGAAACCGTATTATTTGCATATTGTCTTCAGCAGTCACAGCCAGATTTGAAGCCATAGAACTCCGTCAGTTGTAACTGAATATATCGAAATCCGAAAATAACTACAAAGGCAGATGTACCTTTTTATCTGTCTTAAATAAATAAATTTATCACTTTCATGTTTTCTTTGTCTTTAAATGATGTAAGTGAAGTTTCGAAGAGAATGTCTTGGGAAAGCCATCTGCCATAGGACAAATTCGTAAAAAATGACATTTTTACACTCCTCTGTATCGGACCTATCTAGGTAATTCATGACCTTCCCGCAGATGATGGTCAGCTAACGAGCATTTTAAATAAAATCAAAATTCGAACACATAGGTGAGAAGATGAAAAGCTCCTCGCTCCTTTTCATTGTGAATACTTCACAGGAGAAAGAAGGAGTTCTGTAGAGTTAAAATCGCTAGTTTAATTGCAACCCGAATAAAAAGCGCAGGGGGCACCCGGATTTGAACCGGGGACCTCTCGATCTGCAGTCGCATGCTCTACCATCGGACTATACCCCCACGTGAAGCCCTATGCAAGCTTCTATGTATCTAATCTTTTATTATTGTATCCTCAGAGACTGATCAAACAGAACGGGGCCGAGCGTAGGGACACAAAGATCAACGTAGGTGCGCGCTTGGTCTTTCTGTTGTTGCTTGAATGTTCATTATTGCAATGAGCATATTTAGTTCGAAGGGGGGTATACTGAAGTTCTTTCGTTATTTCGCAAAAACCGCGACTTTGAGAGAGCATCTTAAAATACCGGTATTATTCCAGAAACTTTTCGAAAACTACAATATGAAGTCATAGTAGGAACTAAGTAGAATGAAAGAAAAAACTTCAATTGCGACTCATGCAAAACAGCTAGGGGGCACCCGGATTTGAACCGGGGATCTCTCGATCTGCAGTCGAATGCTCTACCACTGAGCTATACCCCCACATAACACCGCTTCCATCCTATCAATCATCATTACGTTTGATTGCTGTACCGTCAAACAAACAAAGCGCGAAAGGAACAAAAAAGGCGAAGAATGGCCGAGCAGAGCGTTTAAGTGAAAGCGTACCAATCGAAAAAGCGATCGCACCCACGAATGCCCACGTGCATGAAGTACCGGTGAGTCTTTACGCTGATTCCTGACTGTTCAGTACGAGTGCATATGGAGTTTAAAAGGGTTATAGACTTCTGAGGCTTTTCGTTTCTTTCTCTTTGCTCAGGTTATCTACAGAAACAAAAAATACGACTTCAAAAATAGCGAATGTCGCCAAGCAATGGTCCAAATGGCCTCAAAAACCCCTCTGACCAGAACCTGGGCTTGAGCCGTTATCGGTCAAGCCAATTAGTGTGAAAAT